TATGTATTAGAAGTAAAAAATATAATATTCTACGCAATAATACATTCAAAAATAGCTAGTCCGACTTCACGCTCCAAGAGCGTCTAGTTTAACTTAAACTTCAACATATCTAAACTCTTTCTTATATCCCTTATGTTCTATGAATGGAGTCATAAAGTGCAAGATTCATTCTTACACTGTGAAACATGACACATGAAAAGGGATAGAGCAAACGCAGGAAAACCATGAAATATAATCAAACTAAATACTAACAAATAGCGGTTATTTAGAGACAAATTGTCAGTATCAATGAACCAGAACATAATGAAGATGAATGAAAAATGGTCTCATGTAGATTCATATTCATTGTGTTTTGGTTCATAATGATACTGACAAATTGTCTCTAAATAGCTGCTATTTGTTAGTATTTAGTTTGACTTTATTTCATGGTTTTCCTGCGTTTGCTCTAGTCAACAGATCTTGAGACTCATCAACACTACACGGCAGTTGGCAATTAATGTCCACTGACAGTAGAATATAGTCATGCTAAAGCCTTCATTGCTTGCAGTTGAAGTGTTGAAGTGTTGTTGTTTTGTGAATCACAAAATGAATATTAACTAAAGTACAAACAGAGTAATAATAATAATAATACAAAAAAATCACTATTATTTTTAATAGGCATTTGGCCTAGGCCATGACCATAGCGGTGACCATGGCAACCATGGCGGCGGCCATGGCGAAAAACATGGTGATCATAGTAAAGATGGAGGGGAAGATGCAGGTTTCCTGTACAAGTGCGCCGTAGTTGTTGGTGGAATCTWCTTTTTCTTTCTTCTCGAATACATTATGAAACTTTACATAAGACACAAGGAAGGGCCAGGGTTGGTGTATGAAGTTAGTGGCCATGGTCACTCTCATGGCGCCATACCAGTCAAACAGAATGTAAGTTTAAACTGTGATAGAGCAGAGTCACATGAAGGCCATGAAATAAAAACTAAAAAGTACTAACTAATAGGCACTATTAGTTCCTAATAGTTTAGCACTGAACCAGAACAGTTTATTTGATCCATGAGACCACTATAACAATCAAAGTAATCTTTTTGTGCTGTTCTGGTTCAGTGATAGTGTCTAAGGGACGGTCCATTTAACTTTTGTTACATACAAGAAGAAGAAAAATCCTACACACCACCAAGAGAAAAAATATATATCCTACCCAAAAGTCATGAAGAAAAAAAGAAATCTTGCTCACAAGAAATCATCCACCCCCCCCCCCCCCCCCCTCCTCAAAAGTTAAATGGACCGTCCATAAATAGTGCCTATTAGTTTCTATTTTTTTTTTCTATTTTTCAAGTGACTCTGCTCTATATCAGACCTTCTAGAACTCATTAATAATTCATGAGCTATTAGTCCAATGAGCATCGAACTGTTGGGTCACATGATGGACCTTTATATCCCGATAAAGCACTGATGTTTTATTAATCAGTTCTATAGTTCTATATATTCAGAGATAATTGATGTTTTATTAATCAGTTCTATATCAGATATATTAAAGAACTGATGTTGAAGGTCATCAGCGCTTTATCACAACCCAACACTAGCAAAGGTCTTAGTTTTAATGTCGCATCATAGACCTTTGCTAGGTTTTAAATCAGTTTGAATCAATGTGCAGATATGCAGTATAGCATTATTATAGACTAGCCCTTCTTACGTGTGGGATCAAAATTTCTCTGTTTTCGCATTTTTTAGCTTTTTTTCTAAAATGATAACAATTTCTGGATGTTGGAGTTCTAGAAGTAGTTGTATAAAAAACTCGCAGTCGTGCTTTATCGGGGATATAGACACTCGGCCTTCGGCCTCGTGTCTCTCCCGATAAAGCACTCCTGCTCGTTTTTTAAACACTTCAAAAAGCAACACCAAATAGCGAGTGACGAGTCATATCTATTTAAACATTGTTTCCCATTTGTTTGTATAATCACCTACCACCTTTCAAGACTGAATTGTAGAGTGCATGCCACATAAGCATGAAACAATTCTTAATAAGTAATTAGGGCCTAAA